GCCTTAGCAAAGGGAGGATTCAGTGTAAAGGGTTGGATGTCTAACAAGCCAATAGACAAAGATCAGGACGGAAGAGAGAAAAAGAGCATGTTCTACGCCGAACAAGAAAAGGTGTTAGGAATCAACTGGAACAGCAAGACTGACAAACTGTCTCTCAAGATAAAACCAGATCTCCTTAAGACATCGTCAACAGAATTAGAGCTAATCAAAGATGTAAAGCTGACGAAGACAACAATCACAGTTCAGCTTCAAGCAGCAGGGTTTATGCACTGATAGATACATAGTCACGGCGATGGAACTATAGCGTCACGTGATCGACTCTCCACCAATGAGAGCGGAGGAAAATTTGTCGTTGAAATTATAATAACTTGTTGGAATATGATTATTGTTTATTTAAAAATAGTACATCTATCATTATCGATGCGCATACATACTTGATATATTAAATTACGCATGAGCAAAATTGTTACAGTTGTCGTTTGACAAGTGCTTATTTTTGCAAAAGTGAGTCGATAAGTTTCTTCCATTGGTCGAGTGTCCATGAAGCATCGGCTTCATTCACTATCACATCGTTGATGAAGAAAGATGGAGTACTTGCAACAGTTTCTAATTGAGAGAAAAAGAGAGTTATCCGTTAGTTGCTGAAATTACACATTATTTGTTTTGACTCTACAGCAATGATATGAAAGCTTTTCGTGTTTCAGCTTGCAGCTTACAAATTTATGCACCACTTATGCGCATGCACACATATCATTTGTACGACCACATTACCCATCATGCTCTGTTCTATAAACGTCGCTATACATAGATCATTCAAATTACACAGACATTTACATATTGCTACAACAAACTTACTTGAACATCCATGTTTCCACGACAGACGAGCTTGCCCTTCATAGCTCGCTTCAGAAAGACCGTCTTTCATCGCAGATTGACTTATATCTGCCTTAGGAGCCAAAGAAGCTACGATACTAAAAGATATAAGAAGAATATGATAATATGGCAGGAGGAGCCGACAGCCGGGTCTTTTCTTCTAAACAACTGTTATTGTAGGACTTTTTTCCTGGGAAAGGGATTGTTGAGCTACATTGTTGACAAACTCACAAAGTTGTGTTCCTGTAAAACCAAGGCAAACGCTGTTTTGTTCAAAASGGCTTATATTTTTTATTCCGATCCTGGCAAAAATTCTTAGAAAGTATTCCTTGCTTGGAGAGTTCTTTCAGTCATGAATTTCTATATGGCAACCAGTTGTGACTTACAGCTGCCTGGGACATAAGAACAGATATATTTCTCCCAGGAACCCGTCGGCTCCTCCTAATATGATATCAATTTGATAGCATTGTTGGTCTCGTGATGGCACCGTCTTATATAGTTCCCACACTCAGTCCCCTTGCTGAATTACAATTGAATTGCAATACATGAAAATGTTGTCGTTCCTGTACAGAAAACACGAAAACGTCTTTCTAGTCCAGTCATCCTGTGATTTAAGGTCAAACAAATTGTAAAAGAATTTTTCTCACTGCTTAACAATAGATAGAGGTTAGCTAAGTAACATACTAAAAATTCGCAAAAATTCCTGTGGTGGAACATAGTCAAACTGGGCATAATTTAAATCGACATTTACCACAGGGTTCCCACAACGGGAAAATTTTTAGTTATCTTAGTATTTGAGGTAAAAACGTTTTAAACTAATTTCTTTTCCTGTCAARTAATAGATAGGGGTTGTTTGAGTTACACATGAAATTTTTGGAAACATTTCTTCCGTAGAGCATGGTCAAATGTCGAATAACGAATTTACCACAGGGTACCCACAACTTAAAAAAAAACACTTTTAAGTGATATAGTGTGCTAAAGTTAAGTTACTACAGAAGTAAAAAATATATAAACATATTTTATACACTTTGCTTCCCAATCAAATGGGCCACAAAATAACGAGAATAAGTTAAAAAATGTACAGACTCTGCTTATAATTAACAGACGTTTAAGAACCTACATATACATCATAAGCGTTATAATCACTCTCATTTCGAGGAAATTATGCCTTCATTTGACCTCTCATTCATCTCCTTCACTGAAATCTAGTTGTGAGGAATTACAACAGCTTTGTCCTCTACAGTTAGCACACGCAGCGGAACATTCGAGCCCTTGTTTTCTGCATGAACCTCTTTTGGGTGCTGCAGTCTGTCTTGCATCCACACCTTCCCATCTCTAGCAAAGACGCATGAGCTGCTGGAAGGCTTGTTCTCACAGGTAACAATCTGTNACTCGGGGAAAATGCAAAGGCTATTTTTATTGCGAACATAATTTTATATAAATTCATAAAAATATATCCAACGACTGAGAATGAGTTACAAAACAGTGATTTGACCATGGTTGCTCAAGTGTATCGTGCATGCGTAGTGAAATGGCTCTTCAAAAACTCATACATAATTAATGAGCTACTAGGCCAATAGAATGAGCACATTTGGTCACATGCATGGACCTTTATATCTGATAAAACACTCCTTATTAGTATTCTTTATAACAAGAATACTAATAAGGGTGACCTTTATCAGATATAAAGGTCCATGACCTTAGCAAAGGTCTCAGGTTTGAAACCTGATCATTGACCAATGCAGGATGTCAACCGATTTCAGTGAACAGCCAAGAGCGGTTCTATACTTTATGCGTATTCAATGTTGGATGACAAGAGTGTTTTGTAAAGTGATTCGCGTATGATCAGTCTGCCCTATTTATCTCAGAACATATTTGTACGTCAATTTCTCCAAGAAATTTAACGGATTTGAGTTCCAAGCCGTTTGAAGCCGTTTAAAACACTCGAGATCGTGTTTTATCAGGTGTGAAGATTCTCACCTTCGGCTCGAATCTTTATACCTGATAAGACACTCTCTCTCGTATTTTAAACTATACATAAAACACACACACACCCCAGTCCGATTAAAGTGCGACGTGCACGTGTTTCAATAATTGTGATTATTGTGAAGGATGAAAAACATTTTTTCAAGATTACTTTAAGGAAACTTTAAACAAACTCGGACTCCAAATAAGGAAAGAAGTATCACCATTTTAATATTTGAAAACAAGAAAGACCTGATGTTGTCTAATATGGAATACAGCAAATAGTATGGCGGGAAGTAACGATCTTTATTATATATCAAGTGTCAAAGTTCACTTTTCCTAGTATCTTAGTCAATAATATGTTGTGGACCGTCAATAAGTACAAAATCGCAGAAAAACACTCTTCAGTGTCGTGAAAATGCCACATTTACGGACGGTGAATTCCAAAATTGTTTTGAAACATTAATTAATTTCATCTACAAATAGTTATTGTATTCATTGTGTTATTACATTGATTGATTTTAGTGACATTTGACTATTTGTATTGCCATTTTTCAGTCATTTTATCAAAATCTTTAGTAAAAACACTTCATTTATTTACGTTTTTTGCTCTCTTTGACACTTGATATGATAATAAAGCACGCTTCGGGAAACATCAGCGGTCTCGGGACCACAAAACATACTGTTTCCCTCGGTTCCAGTAAATAAGTGTTAAGTGTACTTTGTTTTGACGAATAGTAAGCTTATGGACCAACAACCTTCATGGACACAAAGCAAGAATTGAAAATTGCTTCCAATTGAAAATGATTTCAATTGCAGGTTTGTTACGGAGTGTTAAAGACGATCTAAGATAATAATAAGACAAATCTGATTTCGTCTTTCGTAACTACTAAAATAAAAGGCGCATTGATCTACTCCAAAATGGCTGACTAGCCCTTGATGTCTCGTTTTCATAAAATTATTCTTTTGTCTTTGAGCTTGAGTGACTTTAAAAGAAAAGAACAATTTCATAAAAATGAGACATCAATGGCTAGTCAGCCATTTTGGAATAAGCTGTATTACCTTGAACATACTGCCTTATGTTCACAGGAAGCCCAAGGGTAGGGGATTGGAGAATTTATTTTCAAGAGAGACGAGATTGCGTGGTTTTAATGTCAGTTTCCCTAGACCATAAATGTCCTAGCTATAGAAATGGACACTTCATGGCTTGAACATTTCGATCGTCAAGCGTGGATCTGGCCTTGTGAATGTTAAGATTGAAAGCAAATATTCTGGTGATTTCGAAACCGAAGGATATGGTTTTCAAGACGTTGCAATCCCAAGCCTACCTATTGCCAAATACAAGCCCAAAACAAAACAGCATGGCGAAAGTAACCAAATTGTGAGAACGCAACTTAAAAAGCAATAAAGATATACAGTAATATGCAAAAAATTATGATCTTTTTGACTCCATACTCCAAGTATATATAAAATATATCAGAAACTATGCCTACTTCACAGTATATACAGTCAGCTCAGGCTAGCCCGTTATCTACTAGCTAGCTCGATTTCATATAGGGCGTCTAGTTCCATTTCAAAATTCAGTGGTTGTAAGTAATGAAGACATTTTCAGAATTTTCAGTTTTTGCTGAATGTTGTGACAGAGTCTGAATGGGGTTAACCGACTAGCGACAAATGGACAAAATAACTACTGACTAGCGACAAATTTGAACAAAATTTGCTGACTACCGACATTATCACTTTAGAACCGCTTGACAAAAGAAGAGACGAATTCACAAAGAAAGATATCGAACGAATTATTAAAAATAAGAACTTAAACCATTTATTACAACAGTCAACTAAAGTYAATCATAGTTACAGTTTAAGGAGGAAGAACACCCACCAAGTTCACGTTCCTATGTCCAAAACTAAGAGACACAAACAATCTTTCGTTCCCAGGGCGTTGGGACTTTTGAATGGGAACTGATCTGAATTTAACTCTTTTTTACTCTAACGTATTATATATGTACTTATACTGAATTTTAATTCTATTTTACTCTAACTTTTTAAATATGTATTGAACTTTTTATACCTTTCTTTTTTTTCCCTTATATTGTAAATAATCTGTATATATATTTATTATACATATCTTGTAAAAAACACTGTACATATTTTCATAAGGTGTTTTAAATAAAGTTATTATTATTATTATTATAACAAATTTACTGACTGGCGACATTTTCCAATATTCAAAGATGTTAGCTCCGTGAATACAAGCTTTT